AGTGTGAGATGTCTCTGTCCATGGCAGGGGGTCTGGAACTTGATGATCTTAAGGTCCTTTACAACCCAAAGCCTTCTATTATTCTATGGTGAAAAGAAACCAGCTCAGTTCCCTCTCCTTGTGCATTTGCACAGCATTTGTACTACATGCAGGAACACAATGAAGTTACAAATAAAATTAACACAGAAGAACTGAAATAACAAGAATATGCATTTAAGTTTAATGTGACTTTGTTTTTCAAAATCTTCCAACTTTAAATATTTCTGCTATTGTTAACGTGATTCTTCTGACTTCCGCAGCCTTCCTCCTTGCCACCCCCAGCATCTGCCTGTTACTATCTTACAAGAATCCTGATACAGAATAACACTGAGCTTACTCCAGTGAACTAATTTCAAGAAATCATCACCAACCCTGTATTCTTCTTGTTTTGCAGAGGAAGTGGTAAATTGGAGAAGCAGAATCCTTCCGAAAACACAGCGTGGGTGACATTCATGTCTACTCGATGGAGAAAATTCTGGACAGCCCCTGTAACTGTATTTATGGGGAATGTTATAATGTACTTTGCTTTTCTGTTTCTATTTACTTATGTCCTTTTACTGGACTTTAAACCACCTCCACCTGAGGGTCCATCTGCTACAGAAATAATACTTTACTTCTGGGTTTTTACCTTGGTCTTGGAAGAAATCCGACAGGTCAGTAACATATCTTAGTTAATAATAGTGAAACTTGAAGCAATAGTTTGCATAGATTTGCAATCCGCATAACTGTTACAAGCTTGAAGACTTCAAGTATCAGGTGTACTTTCGTACAGAAGAGCCATACAAAAATTACCTTATCCAAAATACTTCACCTCTCTCAATCAGAGTACGCTCTTCCTCCACCATATAAATCTGTAGCTTCACCTCTGCTCTTCCATTTTGCTCCACCCACAGCCACAGCCAACTGGGCTGCTACGGTTCAGGTGTCCTTCATTTTGCAAAGTATCTGTGATTTCACTCCCTAGAACTAGGTTTTCCCACCAGAAATAATGCAAGTTGGAAGTTATATTCTGCACCTGGAAACACAGCAGCCAACCTGCATCCTTTTAAGAGATTCTTCCCCACTGGGGACTGTTTAAAAAACGTAAGCAAATAAATTCAGATTATTTGTGTTTTTCCCAAAATGCTTCTCAACTCGAAAGATTAGCAGATAACTTCTGGTTTGCTTTTCTTAACTTAAAATAAACAAAAACCTTAAAAAAAACCCACAAAAACCTAAAAAAAACCAACCCAACAAACACCCCCCCCCCCCCCCCCCAAAAAAAAAAAAACACAAAAAAACAAACAAAAACTTCTCAATTACTCTCCCAGTAACTGGCTTTGGAATGTCCTCAGCTCAACAACTGAAATAATGTGTTAACAATGGTGCTAGCGTGTTGCCAACTATGGGTGCATAAAGCTGTGCTTTAGACACGAAAAAGTAGTTATAAACATTTACTCTGAAATAACAAATAAGTATTCATTATTTAAGTGATAGAGACAGTGAAGGGGATCCCAGTTTGTTATAATTTATTTGACATTATGACACAATGCTATAACCAGAGGAAGACATGGAAAATATATGGATCAAAGAACATTTCATTATAAACCTGTAAAACATGAAGAGTGCCAGGCTAAAACACAGCTAAGAAACCCACCTCTTTGCCTAGATACTCAAACGTGCACTCACTGACAATTCCAGCATACAAATGTCAAATCTGTTCATGCTGTTTACATAGCAGTGTCTAGAAACTATATTTTGACTGGAAGTTGTATTATTTAACAGCCTGAATTCTGACAATATCTTAAATCAGGCCTCAAAAATTCTTAACGCTAATGTCCCAATAAAAAAAAAAATTTTCTTTTTCATCCCACTTTTGTGTTTTAAGATGGTAAACCAAGCTTATGTTTACAAGCTTTTTTCTTATTACAGTAGGAATTTAGTTTTGTTCTTTGTAATGAAAGAGAAAAAGGAAACAGGTATTATGTTAAAACTCACAATGAAATAGTGAAACTGGAAACAGATCAATACCAATGGTTATTTCTCTTTTTCAGAGTTTCTATACAGATGAAGACAGAAACTTAATTAAAAAATGTAAACTGTATGTGGAGGATAACTGGAATAAATGTGATATGGTGACCATCTTCCTCTTCATAATTGGAGTAATCTGCAGGTATATAACTGTTCCATGTGATGTGATCAGCATCAGTAGTACTTGCTGAGATCTGATTATTTCATGTGCTCTGCAGGATGCTGAACTCTACTTTTCAAGCTGGACGTACAATACTTGCCATTGATTTTATGGTGTTTACACTTAGACTTATACATATTTTTGCAATTCACAAACAACTTGGACCAAAAATCATAATTGTGGAAAGGATGGTAAGTGTGCAGTCTGCCCCAGATAAATACTCGTGCTTTCTAAATAATGGAGAGTAGAAAATCTTTTTCCAAAGGAAATCAGTTTACAATCTGCCTTTATTTTTTATTTTTAGGGCTTGTCATTTTGTGTATGTTCCCTTATTTATCATGAGTATTAGATGCTGTAAATTCGAAATAGATCTTTCCAAAAAGCTCTGTAGTGTAACACATTGGTTCCAATTTACTAATTCTTGTACCTTACCTATCATTTAACCTCAGATCTGGCAAATGAAGAGTAAGAGTGTCTTTAACTTACTGCTATTCCTCCTACTTCATAAGCTATGTGCATTCAGAGCAAAGATCTCAGACAGAAAACAGGCCTTGTATGGAAGGGCAGAGTATTTACTGAATGACTCTCCTCTGCTTGGGGAAACAGACTGTTACTTGCAAGAACTGTGAAAAAACTCTATGAAAAAAGGATAGTTGCAAGTTTCCCACAGGAGTTGTTATTGCATGTACTTTGTAGCTCCAAATTACAATGAAAATATGTTAGTACTTTGTTAGCATATGTTGCAAAATGTTGATAAAAGATTTTTATTTATTACAACTCTCCTGCAGGAAGTGAGACATTAGGAGCAGAGTTACTTGCTTGGATATGCATTGGTATGTTGAAGTAGCTTTTTATTTAGGTATGTTAATCTTCTCAGCCAATTAACTCATGCTGCACTGACTAATAGGAGTTCATCTAATTGTAAGTGCTATTATAGAATCTACAAATATTTGATTTGTGACTCACAGCAGAGCTCAGTAAAAGCCCTACAGTCTAAACAAACCTGTACATTGAATAAACGTAACTACCAAGCTATTTGGATTTGTCTACAAATGCAATAACTGGCACTCTAACATGACATTTGCTTGGAGTAGCAAAAGGGTAAATGGCAAATAAATATTTATTCTTGAACATTATCTAGCTTATAGCATTAGCAGACTTTTATTGTAAGAGAATAAGTCAGATCTACAGCTCCTGACCCCTCCTTGCTGCATATGAAGCTAAACCTAGTCTCTGAACAAACATTGTAGTATGTCTGCTGTGTTAGCATCTGATGTCTTATAAGGTAACACACAGATTAAGATGAAAATAAGAACATAAACAGCAGCCTAGACAAAACCATAATGGGACCTTTCATCTTCCCCCCATCCAAGCCATCACGATACCTTAGCTTTGGTAGTTCAGTGTTGAACCTTCCATCAAATGAAGTAACACTGAAAGTTACCTCAGTAAATGATACCTTCTTGAGAGGTTCATCAAGTGGGTTCAAGCAAAATCATTTCCTTTACTTAAACAGAGAAGCAATCCAAGATTGTCTCTCATTGTCTTTCTCCTTTATCAACCTTGCTACAGAATGGCTGAAACAAGTCTGGTAGCTGCTAAAACAGCTATTCAACACCAGAACAAGGCCTGTTCACAGAGAGACTGCAGATTGGAAAAAACATATTTCCAGACTTGCCACTGCTCTCTCTTAGATACTGTGTTCCTTAATAGAACTCCAAGTAACATCCTGGAGCTCTCAAATGCCTATGCTTTTGAGTGACCACACAATCCAATAATCTAATTGAAATTAATCTACAGACCCTAATGAACTCTGTCAGATTAGATGGGAAGAGGATGAAGTATTCCTCTTCCACCAGGGAAAAATTATTGCACTTGAAATGCGTATTAGATTATTATTTTTTTTTAAGTAAGTGTTTTAAGATTCAATTACACAATGTTTAAAAGCAGGAAGTCTTGAAAACAATCCCTCAGATGCATTACTTACTTAGCTTGAGAACACAAGACAGAAGCTACCCGATCCTTGCAGCCTTCAGTGTCTGCTGTGTCAATAGTTCAGTGTTTGTCACTGAGTACTGAGTGTAACCACGATTCACTGCTGCAGCAGAACTCCAGTAATCCACAGTGAAGCAGTCAATGGTACTGTGAGATCTGACAGAAAATCTGCATCTAAAAGGTACAATGAGATTCACCTAAAAGATGTGTTTCAATATTAAATTCTAGATGATTCAAAAGCAAGGTTGAAATTTAAAACATGTCTTTAGATAATAAGCTATCAAAGTAAAATGCTGCTACAGGCCAAGAACAATATGACATTAAGACCAAAAAAGGAATTCTCTGCACGCAAATGTATCCTATTCCACCTCAATTTAACCTAAACAAGGTTGTCAAGAAACAGAATTATGAGCCATTTCCATATAGAAAGACTACTGTTCTTCGACATTGCTATTACAGTCACCTCTCCTTCTTTTTTTCCCTTCCCCTCTCCTTTTTCAGATGAAAGATGTTTTCTTCTTTCTGTTTTTCCTGAGTGTGTGGCTCATTGCCTATGGTGTGACGACTCAAGCTCTACTCCATCCTGATGACAGACAAGCAGAATGGATATTCAGAAGGGTGCTTTATCGTCCCTACCTTCAGATATTTGGCCAGATTCCACTGGATGAAATAGACAGTGAGGATTTCTTTCTACCCTAACTTGTCCATTTTTGACTCCACACTTCTGATTAGAGCATGGAATTCCTTCCCAGTGTTCAAGTCATTGTCCTGCAGGCCAAGGTTTTCACACTACCACGATATGAATAGTGTATTTGCAAAGAGACAACCAGCATTGTGGAATTACATTACAGCACAGTTAGACAAGCTGCCTGGAATATTCACACAAGGATTTGCAGTTTTAAATGCTGGCATACATTCTGAAACAATAGTGCCCTCCATAAATTTTGGCAGTAGCTTAACATGACAGTATTAAATCAGTACAGGTCTGACCATAAGCAAACACTTATGTTTTAGAATAAATATTATTCTAAAGCTTTTATTGACTCTGGAGGTAAAGCTGCCCAGATCAAATAAAGCTAGTAATGGCGTATGTGCAATATTTCAAACAAAAAAAACATAAAAATAATCACAAGACACAGAAATACTTGGACATAAAAGTTCAAAGTCAACATTTCTGATAGGTAAGCAGGTAAAATACAGAATAGGTCATCTCCCAAAAAAGTCTGAAGTAATGCCACAGCATTATGCCGGAATAACAGTGCTAAATGTCAGTGGCAATATTGAAGCAGGATTCAAACTTGAGGTAACATAGAAGGAACAAAAAAAATATCCCACACACATAGGAAAACCAGTAAGCATTCTTTTATGTTCGCTCTGCTTAATAAGAAAAAGCATGTCTTACAAAACTCAAAAATGTCTAAGTGAGACAAGAGCAGAGGTGTGATCCATCTCACTTAACTTTAAATGCCTACAGCGCGAGCATGCACAGCACAACCAGTCACTCTTATTCCCATTAAAGTAATTGGAGAGAAACAAATATATTTGGAATTGGATTAATCTTATTTGGACATAGGTCAGAGGTAGGATTCCCTAGAAACATGTGTTTCTCTCCATTGAGACTCCAAAGGGGTGTCTTCACCTGGATAAATAAATGGTTAAAAGACAATGAAAAAAATATAATTAGTTACACGGGCAACTTCAGAAGGGAGTCGTTTGTCCTAGGGCCCTCTAAAGCTTATTCTGTTTAGCATCTTTATGAAACAGAAAAGGAGATAGGTAATGAGGGGGACAAAATTTGCTGGCAAAACTGAATTACTGGGTAGTAAAAACTAAAACTGTCACCTTAGAGCTGCAGAGGAGCCTCACAAGTGCTAAATCATCAAATGAAATGCATTGTAGATAAATACAAGGTAATGTACTTGGTGAAAGCAGTCCCAGTTGTTGTGAGCTTTGATATAACTGCCTGCTCTAAGGAATATGATTGTGAGGTTATCCATGGCAGTAAGGAAAAAAATTATTAGGGAAAAAATGGAGAACAAAAAAGTAAATATCATTATGCCGCTCTAAATTTGTGGATTTAATTCATAGCTGGAGACAGGATACAGGACTAGACCTGTAGTCTGATGCAGTAGAATCTTTCTTACTAACCTCGACTGCAAGCCCAGACATACTTGACTGCAAGCCCAGACATAAAAAGTAGTTTACATTTAGAACGAAGAATCCCATCCCAGCTTTTACTGTGTTTTCTCTTCTAACCTTCATACTAGCATAAGGACTGAGAAGACACAAGTGTGTGTGGGAACACAGCTGTTTGATACTCAAAGGTGGTTTGACTTTGGGAACTCAAAACTAGTCTAAAAGGATGCAGCCTTTTCAATACAATCCTCCTTTGACGAATGTTACTAAAAAGACAGTTACAGCCTTGTCAATACAATCCCCCTCTGCTGAATGTTACTAAAAAAGCAGCTGTGACAACCCATCTTGCCACTGACGAGCAGCCAAGTTCTGGTGCAAATCTCTTGCACATTAAAACAATGTCTCTTCATGTACATGACATAACATTTTCACAGGTTTAAGACACTGGATATTAGTTCACATAAATGATCTTTCAACTGCAGAATTAGTTCAGTAGCTCAAGCAGTCAAAGAACTGTCCTTTTAGGGTTTAAGAGTCTCATATTTAGAGTCCTGTTGTCAACAAAGGCAGTACAAAAATACTACCACAATATTGGCTTTAAGATTTTAATGACTGTAAAATATTCCAAACAAAATTATGCTGCTGTTTATATGTAGCCAAGATTAAATCTCATTTTAGTAATCATTATTATCACTGTCCTTGATTTGTATCTTAACAGTAAAGGTACTAAATACATGCATCTACTCACGTTGCTGGTTCTTAAAAAAAGACATGTTTAGAGTTATTAATTCAGTCTTTATTTGCATTGAAAAAGCTATGAAGTACATCACTTCAAACCTCAGGAACAATTTGTGATTCTTGCCATTCTTTGTTGAAAGTCGGATTATTATTTTTTCCCAAAATGCAAAGCTTTTGTCTCTACTCACACGTCAATAGGATTTGTCAAAACTATTCTTTTGTTTCTCTATCATCCTTTGCAGCAGCACGAATGTATCCCAGGAACTGTACATCTAATCCACTGGAGATTCTGCACAAGAACTTGCCATCATGTCCTAATAGCTATGCCAACTGGCTGGTCATACTTCTGTTGGTCATCTTTCTACTCGTCACGAATGTTCTCCTTATGAATCTTCTGATTGCTATGTTCAGGTAAGAGTGAGTTCAGTAAGTATCAGGACAGAGGCTGTAAAGGTTTAACTGAATGCCCACGTTTACTACATTGCTGTTGGCTATTCATTTTGGAGTACACTAGTAATTTTCCTAATTAATGTTATTTGGGGATTGATAGGTAGACTTCTGTGATCATATAGTTCTTAAGTTATCGTCCTCATTCAAGCCACAGCAAAGATGACAAGAAGCCTCTTTTACTTCTAAACATTCAATTAAACATGCATAGAAGGTCCTGGATCCCTGGCTGTGCTGCAGCACCAGTCTGCAGGTGCAAAGCAGCTCTAAACTTGGCAGATTTAACAGTGAGTGATCTGCACATAGAGGAAATGCTTGACGTCAACATGGCTAATAATGATTCATTGGGTTGAAGAACTGACACAGTGTTTGAGGTGGAACTGCATTTCTTTTAAAAAGCCCCACAAAACTGATGTATTTGTTAATATTTGAAGACTGCAACTGCAGTTATTTTAATATCTAAGCATTTGCACAAACTTTAGATTAAATTAACACTACTTGCTGAGCTTTATGTTCCTTTTTTAAAGTAAATGAGTGACTAAATTTTGTAATAATAAGCTTTAGCATGTTGCAGTAAAAAACAGTTATATACCTTTCCCTTCCTCCCCCCCCCCCTCCCAAATTACAGTTACACTTTTCAAGTTGTTCAGGGCAATACAGACATCTTCTGGAAAATTCAGCGCTACAACCTGATTGTTGAGTATCATGGCCGGCCTGCCTTAGCACCACCATTTATCATTATTAACCACATAACTCTGGTTCTCAGAAGAATCTTCAACAAAATGGAACATAAAAAGGAACATCTGGGTAAGTTGATAACAACCATCTAGCAACTGGAGACCCTGACACTCTTCTAGGACATACTGCATAGACAGATGAGAAGAGCAGTTAAGATTCCGTAAGACAAGAGTCACAATTTATTTTTAAGAGTGCCACAAGACTACAAATGAAAAAATAAGTCTTATATTGTATATTATAGAGTTTCCCACAACACATTTCTCTATGCACCACAGTTATTACAGCAAAAGTGTTGATATACAACAGTTAAAGAGCTGTAGTGTGCCCAAAGAAGAGCAACAAAGCTGGTGAAGGGTCTAGAGCACAAGTCCCATGAGGAGTGGCTGAGAGAACTGTCTTGTTTATTCTGGAGATAAAGAAGGCTGAGGGGATGCACTGTCACTCTCTACAACTACCTGAAAGGAAGGTGTAGAGTATCAAAGTGGGTCAGTCTCTTTTCCCAGGTAACAAGTAATAGAATAATAAGAAATGGTCTTAAGTTGCACCAGGGGTGGTTTAGATTGGGTATTAGGAAACATTTCTTCACCAAAAGGGCTATCAAGCACTGAAACAGGCTGTCCAAGAAAGTGGTTGAGTCACCACCCCTGGATGTATTTAAAAGACATGCAAGTGTGGCACTCAGGGACACGAGTTAGTTGTAGACTTGGCAGTGTTGGGTTTATGATTGGACTCAATGATCTTAAGGGTCTTTTCCAGCTTAAATGATTTTATTATTTGATTTCTGAAGATATAACAATGGATAGGTTTAAAAAATAGTTATTTCATATGCTCCTGAGTTTTGGTAATTATTAAGTATGAACAAAACAAAAACAAAAACCAAATACCAAGTCTAAAAATCTACTAGGATCAGTGGAATTTCCTAATACAGACACAAATTGAGAGAGAGAACATGCTTAGAGGAATCATGGTTCCTTAAAAGTTATAATTCAAAAGGCACATGAAGTTCACCTAATTATAGAAGGCATTTGGGGGCTTTCTATAGTCGTGGCAAACTTGGCCCAGCTAGCTTAATAGCATTTGATAACAATTTACTCCTCATGTACAGGCTGATTAATGGGCTTTGTAGCCCAACTGTAAGTCAGACTGGACCAATTCACAGTCCTTTGACTAAGCTCCCTTTCCGACTCCCTTTCCCTTCTAGCTATCAAAACATACTGCTGAAGATTCTTAATAAAAAATATTGGTTTTCCCCAGAAGAAAGGAAGTACCTGGCTGCTCAGATTATAGATGCAGTAATGTTTGCAGCACGCAGCAAGTATACCCTTTTACCAGTCTTTAGGAAGATACAAAACTAGTATGTTACATTCAAACTATGCCGGTGAAATTGCGGTCTATTGTTTGCTTGGATACTTGACAACAGGCTTTATATTTCAAGGTGGAGGGATTTATTCAGTTTATCTTTCCTATTTATAACTGTTCTAATAAAGATGTTTACATGATGAAGTGCATCTGAACATAAAGCTTTGCTCATTTAATACTTAGAGGCTAAAATACGTCAAAAGTCCAATAAGGTGGTAAATGAGTTTAAATGGAACCACAGAAATTGGTCCATGCTGTTCTTCAGAAAACTCAGGAGTCATATCCAACTGCAAAAAAGTCTATTGCCTTCCATCAGAAGAGAAAAAAAGGGTAGAAAATACTTATTTTACACTGTATTTTCATAACATGACACTCCTGCAATGGCAAAGAGCCTTTTTCTTTAGCATAGCAGCCTTCCATTAGCAGTGTAAGAGAAAGACAGTACAATATTTTGGGGTTTTTTTTCTTCCTACAGAAAGAGATCTTCCAGTTGGCCTAGATCAAAAAATCGTAACATGGGAGCTGGTGCAAAAAGAAAACTATCTTGTAAACCTTGAACAAGAAAGGAAAGAAAGCAATGAAGGAAGGCTGAAGGCCACATCTAATAAGTATGTTATTCTGACTCTCAATAAATGTACATTGCAAGTCTTCAGCTTTGCATGAGATAAGCATTCAGATGCTTGAACTAAAATGCAGTTAGGAAATATTCAGTCCATGAAAAAATGTGTGAAGCCAGCATCACTACAACATCAGAAGATTTTTTGGCATGGTATTTTTTGATATGTACAATTACAGACCTGTAAGCTCCAGCCAAATCTGCAGTTGAGCTCAGTGAACATCATATTCATGAAGAAATGGTGGAAAAATACTTCCTTTGCTATACCGTAGTGCACGTACTTCCATTCCCTGTAGGAATACAACATAAATTTTTGAATTAGACTTTTGAACGGAAATTTGAAATATCATGAATTATCCCCCAGCCCAGAGATGCAGAAGAACAGCTGTTTATAGCTTTATGGCATGAGACTAGTTTTCCACAAGAAATTAATGGTATTGGCTTTAAAACTGTACTTAATTGAGTCTCTATTTAAATACTTCTCTAAAATATCTCCTCACTAAGAATATCACTTAAATTGGCTTAGTATTCTAAAGAAAATTCCTAAATTATTATTCAGAGGTTTGCTCCTTTAAGTGAGACACTACATAGTTACCTGCAAGGAAAACAGAAACATCTAAGGCAATACTGAAAATCAGATAGCAAAGCATTATTTAAAGCAGCTTTTAATACCTGTTTCAGCTTTTCCCTCTGATGATAAAACTGACTTCAAATACAGACACAATGGGTGTGAAAGCTGTCCTAAGTTCCATAGAAACATTCTTGTGCTGCCTGTTTTCTTTCCATGCTGTCTTTCAAAACAAACACCATCTGTCTAACTCATCTAATAGCTGGTGACCAGAACAATGTAGAGTACATTCTGGGAAAATACTCTTCTCCCTCTTATCTACACAGACTCCTACTTCTTTGTAATTTAGAACTATTTTGCTGGTTTAAATTTTATTCTCATAAGTAGATCACTGACAAACCCTAGGAAGGAGAGCTCAGTTGTTGAGGTCAAGTAATAAATGTGTAGTTGCTTCCAAAGGGGACAATTACATTCTTTCTAGCTTTAAAACTAGGATACTTTATAGATAGTACATTCTAGATTAAGCTACTGCTTGGAGGGGAAAAGAAAAGAGTCTGGCTTCACAATATTTCAGAGCCAGAAAGAGATAGGAAAAGGTTCAGATGAACACTGCTAAACCCGTGACTTTTCATCTTTGCTCTTGGTGGCAGCAGTGTCGGTCTGAGATATTATGAAACTCTCAGAAAGTGATTCTTTGAACTTTGCAATGCACTCATCCCAAAATGCATTAGACCCATCCAGTGGTAGCTTTTTCACACAGACCTGAACAGAACATAATCTGTTAGAAGGAAGTTTTGAAATAGCTGTTAGGACAAAGCAGAGAGTGATTGGAGCACCCTATAGATTATCAGCTGCTAATAAGGAACTGATGGGAGAGGTGAAGTATGCAGAAAGCCTGTGGACAGTATAACAATCTGGAGGCACTATATAGTTCTCTACACAGTCCAGCGAGAGCCCATGGCTCTAGTAAGTCACATGGGTTTTGCGTTTTAGGATTTCTTCTGAGGCCTTTCCATTTTGCTCAGCATGTCTGCTTTGTTTCCACAGAGTGGATAATTTGTCTAAATATTTTAGCGGATTGAAAGAACAAGAAAAGCGGTTTAAAGCTATGGAAGTCCAGGTAAGCAACAGTTTTATGGGTATTTATATTAGCTTTAGGATTTCACCATGTTTCTCATTTAACAGTGGTTTGGCAGACCCTATTTTGGAATAATGGGAAGGAGGAATGGATCTGTATTATGGTTTCACTTACCTTATAGTTTTCTCTCTGTAAAGAAACATTTCCAATCTCTGGTAGAAAGAAGAAAGGGGCATTTCTTGCTTTTTGCGAGCCTACTTCAGGAGAGTTTATTTCCTTTGTTAAGGATGCTTCTGGAATGAAATGCTCCAATTTCCCCCCCTCCATTCTCCTCCTTCTCACAACCTTTTCTGTCTCTAAAATTGTCAACTTGGAAAATACACATATTCAGTATGATCTGACCTAGACTGATCTTGGACATCAGTTTTTCTAATTTTTGTAGATATCAGCATCTTAAAGGAAAGTGTCTAAGATACAAATGTGAAGCACAAACAATAGAAGGAAACTTTGATGACAAACCCTTGAAATATAAACAAACATTTTTTTTAAACACCATTACCATGTGCTAAGTAGCACAAATGTTATTGTTTTCTTTGTCCCTACAACTCTCCAGTGTAACTGTGGCCTTGCTGGAAGTTCCTTATCTTAATATTCCCATCGCTGCTTCCCTGCCCTTTTTTATCCATTTTATGGCTTTCTGAAAAAAAGCCTGCTATTCAATGAACAATGTTGACACCAAATACTGGTCCAACAGAAACACAAAAGAAATGTTTGAGTAAGTTTGTGCCAGCTCAAGATAATGCAATATACTCACAAAAAAAGGGAACGCATTTAATACAAATCTTCCTTCAGGACAGTTCAACTGTTTCTTAAATGTATATATACATAATGTGGTCTCTCTGAAGCTGCTTCAATGTGCTGCCTGGATTGTCATTCTTACAAATTTAAGAATAATGTTCCACAAAAATGAGCTGATGTAGAAACCACTACCTATTTTGTAGATTTGCCACTGTACAGCTGTTATCTCCTCAATGGTAGAGGCTTTAATCAAAACGAACCTCTTGTGCAACCAACCAGTTCCAAACTATACATGTAAGTATTGAAAACAACTATGGAGAAGCTAATGACCACTGAACAATTTAGTTAAAAATGAAAGGGCCTTGAGAACTTTGAACTAACATATGGCAAAGGTTTTCAAAATTCCTATGTAAATGAAAGTTAAACTAAACCTAGTCTGGAACTAAAGATGGTTTTAAAGCGTTTCTGAACTGAGGAAGCAGCTGAGACTTGCTTAAGGCAATTTGGGTGAACATATACAAAAGGTTAGGCTGTTTCCAAGCTGTGCTTCATCTGGCTTTGTTGATAACAGACCTAACAAGGAACAGAATATTCATAAATCAGAATGAAAAAAAAAAATACCATTTGCAAAATATATTTAAAAGCTTTTGGCCAAGTGCTTAGTGTGAGTTAGAATGATGTCACCCAACTTTGAGCATGTTAGGTAAGTATCTGTTTGCCACATGATTTCTGAGAGGATTGTCCTGGGCTTTTCTTGAGCTAATGAAATAGTCTGAAGTATTACCAAAACTTTTAATATAGAGATAATCATTAAAATCAAGGAAGTCATGTACTTTATTGTAATTAATACAGCTCATTTGCCTTCAGAGCTGCAACTGTTCCTGTTAGTTAAGAATCTCACCTGCTGACCAAGGGCTCCACTGTCTGGAGTTTAAAATACTAGAGACAGACTTTTTCTCAGCACCACAGGATATCCAACACAATAAAGACTTTGGATATTCTTCTTAACGATCTATTTCAGTATCTACCTATTACTGTCTATTATACAGAAAGACCTCCAAAAAACATAAAGTGAACATGTACATACTTCATGAGAAAAAGAAGTAGCTGGAAACTCTGTTGTGACATGACAAGACCTCACTTCACTCAGACTCAAACTAAACCTCAAACTTGACTTTTCTTAGAAGCTTATAAAACATATGTAAATTTCTTCACTATCAATATCCAGTAAGAAAAAACATCCTACAGCATGTTCCACAGACATGTTAATACCATAGCTACATAAATACGAGAAACTTCAACAGCTGAAAAATAAAGAAACCTATGTTCATCATTTACTGAGCAAGTACAAATCAATAGAACCTACAGGATCTTTTTATTGTGGATTATCTTCAACATTTTGAAGATTCTTAAGCAATTACTATTATGTGCCCCTTTCTTAAGGCTTTTAAACAAGCATATGACTTTTACAATCCTGCTAGGTGTGATGACTGCCGATACAGAAGTGCATTTGCCAGAAAGAAGTGAAAGAGAAGAGTGTGCAGATCAGTCTGAGGCTGACATCACATACATTGATAATTAGATTTTATTCTCATCTCTTCAGATTAAGCCTTTTGTCCTACTCTGTTTAGCAGTAAAATCCTAATCTCATGAAAGCCTAAGGCTCGGCTTTCAAAGCCTTTACAGCAATCAACTCTCAGAGGGCTTCTTGGTCTTCCCTCTCCAGTTTCTTGAGCTTTCTTCCCTCCTGCTTCTATATTGCTCAGTCCAGAACTCCATTCCACAGATCACACAAAAAACTTTCTCCTCCAGCATGACTCTACCATCTTATTTTCTATATATGATCAGCCTTCTATTCTCCAACACCTCACCCTCAATCCATCGTCATAATTGCTCATTTCCGCATTTCTCTGTTCAAGGAAACCTCCCTTTGGAAGGCTGATCATTTACACACTAAAAAGCATGCAATTCCTTGGCCAAGAAAGCAAGCTTGTATTTGAGCTGCTTAGAAAGGAAATCAAGTAATAGTTTCCACAGGAAAGGGCTTGCAACATTGAACCATTATGATCCATGCAGTTCCTGGAGTTCTTACAACCCTTGAACGGTTGCAATCACCGCCTTCTCTTCCCATGCTGGCTTCTGCAAGATACTCCTTTGCTAGTATTTCTTACTGAGGGCTCCTGCCTCATCTCCAGAAACTGGAATCTCATCACACAGTCCTCAAGTGCGTCGTGGCTTGCAATCACTTCCCAAAAACAAAGCAGATGACCCTCCCGCAGGCTGACCCCAGCCTCTTATGCTTGCTGTTCTGTTCCAGTGCCAGATCCTAGCTGTTGTCAGCTTGGTGCTGCTAAAGGACTTTCCCTTTATGTGTCATACCACATGGAACACTGCATCTGCAGCTAAGCCGTTTTCTGATTTCACTTTTCTCTCTCAAAAATCAGGGTGGGGAAAAAAAAAATTACTTGGAGTCTTTAAAGCAGCAATATGTAGCAAGAATTTTCCTACAGACTATGAATTTGGGCTGCGTCATTTTTTTCATTACTTAAACTGGCATGTACAGCTTCAGCATAAAAAAAAAAGACAGCTGGCTTTAATAGAATTTTGTATGAAAAGATACATCAATAAAATGAATGTCATAACCGTCCTTTAAAGGGAAATTTCTTTGCAATAATATCAACAACATCAGAAGTGGGAAGCATTGGGTTGTGGTTTTTCTTACATTGGTAAGCTTCAACTGAACTTCATTTCATCATGCATGTAACACTGCTTCTATGCAACATGAATGTAGCTTGTGCAAAAGCTTTCTCTATTACCAGAGGTGGGGGAAGATCTCAGATCTAATAAAAATACCTTTCCAGCATGAGTTCTTTATTAATAATTCCAATTATATTATTATGTCTTCATAAAACAGGCATTTGTCTGGTTTATTCAGCTGTGACCCAGACCTCAGTGACCCCATTAACAGTGACAAAATCTTGGTATTGTCCTACCTGTTCTTCACCCCAGGCAAGCATTAGTCATAAACCCAGTAAGTTTGTACTGAGCTGCTTTTTGTGTTAGGAAATAACACCTATCTTGCAACCAGCATGCCCTGCTCTTGGCAGCAGCTTCCATTCTGAAACAGCTACTATTTTAATTGTGATCAGCCACATTAATTATCCACTTGAAATCAAAAATCTATCCGTTTGGAATTGCTGCTATGCACATGCACTGTAACAACTTGACGTATTTAGCTACGATCCATTAATGAACATGCATCAAACTGTATACTCATGAGAAAATACATTCTGCTTTTAAAATTAAAAGGCAGATTTCAAAAGATGGAACAATATTACTCATTTTGCACTATTTTCTGCTTGTGCTGGCAAACGATGCATCTGTTCAAACATAAAGATGCAAAATCACTTGGGCCTATCGGTCAACTATGATAAGATGCTGACACCACCCCCCCACCCCCCCAAAGAATTAACTTCTTCAAAGATCCTTCAGAGTTTAAGCAAGCGCAGTTTAACAAGGAGATCACAAATTCTAAAGAAGTACTCTTTCACTACACAGCTTTGCGTTTGGTTAATTCAGAACACTGGCAAAAAAAATGTCAGTCCAAACTGACCTGAACTAATTTGAGTTTCAAATCATACAGCCTTTGGGGGAGTTTAATCTTTTGACCTTATTTATAAAATTTCTTAACATTCTGTTTGAAAAACTACTATATTTGACATTCATTACAATGTGACTCATTGTATAAGGTGACTCATCCTATGAGATGATTCACTATATATTGTCAAATGATTGAAAATATTAAAAATGTCAATTTTGGAATTTAAACTAAGACTTGAGGGAGAAGTTACAAGATGTTACATTACTGTAACATTCTAGGAGATTTTCAAGAGAATTCTCAAATCAAATAAACTGAGTATTTGTTAAAACTCCTACAGCTGTGTTAATCAGCATGGCTCAAAGAGATGACAAAATCCAGTTACCACTCAAAATTTACTGAATCCCAAAGAACAAAAGAGTATTCCGTTCTGGTATAAATACCTCATTCCCATCAAATGAACACACATTATCAGTTTGGAAGCAGTGCCATCTGGAAAGGACATACAAACCTGCAGGCTAAGAATCACCGCATCATATCATGATCATCATCAAGGGGAAAAACTGCTGCCCAACTTCACAACTGAAGCTACTGCAAATTCTGACCTACACTCAACACAGGGAGACTTTGCTGAAGCCATCCTGAGCATGTCTTCAGCAGGATGTATCCAGCTGTACTTCTCCAAAGGAAACATTGTGGTTTTTTAAATGTTTAACACTAAATAAGGTAAATATTAAACCCCCCAAAATACTGGGTTTGCCAGTTCCCACCAGTTCCTCCAAACTCATAATTGGGTGCTACTGTGCTTTCACTCTCAATGGCAATGAGAGAATGATGTATTGAGGGGGGAGAAAAACAAATAACAGAAACAAAGGCTAAAAGGTTGTAAAGGTGTTCCTCCCTGGGACAGGGCCACAATAAAGCACATCCAGTGGAAGACTAGGTTTTTATTTTCATTGTTTAAAAATCTCTGTATCACGAACTCATTGTCATTGTTCCAGGATCTGGGAACCGCTCTGAACGTGGGCGTTAGTAGGAAGCCTTTCAGCTAACACACCTTTCTTTGGCTACTTCAGTTCCAGCACAAGCCCCAGGGAGCTGCTCAAGCAAGCAAAGCACACCTTATTCTTTCCTGCAACTATCCTGTGCCCACAGACTTCTCGTGAACATGAAGTCTGAAGTGTTTTAGGGAGCTTAATTTCTAACAGCGTTAAAATGTTCTTGGTAGCTACAATGCAAACCGTTGGACAAAAAGCTATCATGTGGTTTCCAGATCAGAAAAAAAAGTCAAGAGAAAAAAAACCAGGCATATCTGAAGACAAGTCCTTGGATGTTTCCAGTTAACTCCATTCTTCAGGACTCTTCCTCCTCCCCTTCATCATCTGCTTTAGGTCGGAAATTTTTCCTATTCTTTTTCTTACTGCAGTGGAATCCAACTGTTCCCACCAATGGCTCTTCACCTGCGCCACTAAACTTTGCACTAAGATTACCTTCTGCATTCAGGTCCCCTGCCGTCATGCACTCCTCGTCCTCTGTTGCCTTACCACTTCCACTATCTAGGTGTCCCAGCTCTACCTTATCTTCCTCCCTCAAATCATCAGTCTTCCTAAGAGATTTTCCTTTCATATCCATTTTCACATGTTTCTTATAATCTTCCCCTGCTGCTGCTGTTTTCTTTTCCAGTCCATCCACACCCCTTTTTGCTGGTTTGGAGAAGACAATCCTCCCAGCTCCACAGCTGGAAGGGTCCTGGTTGAAGTATGGGGTGTAGCTATCTTGGGTAGCTGAGCTTTGTTCCTTCCCTCTTTTCTTCAGACCCTCTAGAAATTCCATGGCCACTGCCCTGTTAGTCTTGTCACTAGACTCTGAAACTCCATCTAGGCTGTATCTGGTCCAGCGCTCTGGGTGTGCCACATAGTCAGGCACTGCAGGAGAGGTTTTGGGAGCCTGCACTGCTTTGACTTGCTTTCCCAGGCTCTCTAGAACCATGCTACCTGCAGCTGCGGTTGGAGGCAATGGACGTTTAAACCTCCCATCAACAACATTATCTTCAGGCATTGAGGGCACAGACAACTTGGCTGCCTCCTCCAGGCAATCAAAAATGCTCTGGCTACGGCGGGAGAACGTAGAACTCATGCCCCTCAGATGGAATGGCTGGACAGGAGATCTGTGACTGCTGTTTGAAGAGTCAGGGGTCTCCGCTGATCTGCAATCCCCATCATCTACAGACGGCTCCTCAAGAGATATTGTATCAACTTCTGCTTCATCTGCCAACCCCAAATCATCAGAATCAGAATCGCTGAGGGACACTGTGTCTGAGGGTACAGCTCCTTCGTGGTCTTTGGCCTCACCAGCCACTATCCCCAGAAAGGGTTCACCTGCATCCTGATCTCCCATCTTCAAGCTGCCACTCCACTGAGGTCTTTGATGTAGGCCCAGGAACAGCTGCAAATATGGGTTTCAAAATGACCAGCGAGTTTAGTGCCTAGAATACAAAGAAGCATAAGAATTCAACTGTGAAATGAGAACCAAGTATGAGACTATCAATTTGTGCTGTGCAAAACTATTACTACTGCAATATAACAGGCAGCTGCACTTCAGGGACTCCTACGCAATTTCCTTCAAATGAAAACATTATTTAAGGAATGAATGCACATTAAGAGTTACACAACACTCAATACAAGAATTTGAAGTAATTAAAGATAGCGCTGCCCACCAAATTTCATTAAAGGTCCAATTACTAAAAGATGAGCATAAAGACAAGCAAATCCAAATACCCCATAACTGTCTTACATATCTTCCAAGAGACAGGAATGACCTCTACAAATGAAAACCCTGTTTTAATCATACTGTATAAATCCACAAAACATATCCTAATCTCTCACATTTTTTGGCCATTGTGATCCTTTACTGCATTAGCCACTGCACCTCCTGTTCCCAGTAATCATCACATTCTGCCTGTTATAAAGGACACTATCACTTGTCAAGGTCAGTGGTACAAAAGCCACAATATACCAGGGCTAAAGTTTCAAGATTGCTTTAAAGTGATATAAAGTACAAGCTGCACTTCTTCCTTAGGTCTAATCTCTCATGTTATTATGAGATTCCTGGAATCAGAAAATGAGCCAGCTCCAGAAATCAATCCCACTAGATTAAGAAGAATCATCACACATGCCATGCTTGGTAATGGACACAAGGGGAAAGTGCGACCAAAGGTTTGCAAAAGCTGGCCCTTCAGTCAGCAAAAATACAGTGTGATTTAAATCCTGACTCAGTGGTTGGAATACTGATTCATTCTGCCACCTGCTTGAAAGGAAGCTTGCAGAACAGAGGCGTTGATAATCACACTACCACTGGCCAGGCAATCAAACAGTGTTGGCAAACATACACTTCAGCTCAATTCACAAAAACGTGAGTTACAGAAACAGACCTAATATATTATTAGAATAAGCTCAACTACCTAATTATAGGTTCTTCTGAAAAGATGCAGTAAACAGACATGGCAAGTCTGTTAGTCACTCACTTTCTCTTGAGACTGAGTCAGGTTCCCCTCCTGAGGGTCAGTTAAAGCCACCAAAGATCTCAGCACTTCCACCCTAGAAAACAAACATTTCCATCAAGATACTGGAAATGTAGTTTTAAAATGAGTTTTAAAAATAATTCCTTCCCCCTGAGTCATCGAAAGCTGCAGAACTCAGTTCTAAATCTGACACAAACTCATGCTGGTATAAAAGTCTGTAGATATACTTGGATTTTTGGCAAAACAACAACACACAGCCTAATAAGGCAGTACCACTATATTTACTCAACCTCCGCATTCACACTGCCAACCTTATTCTGCAGAACAGAAGAGAGGTTTTAAAAACTAAAAATTGTAATTTGCATGTGCAGTAAACCACTACAAAATGTACAGTATTAAATGCAGCTAAGAAAATATATAAATAATAGTGATGCATCGCATGTATTAAGTACTTTTAAGTACTAACACTGTGGCTACCGCAGAGTTCTGTTTTCAAAGAAAGGTTGTATTCACAGTTAGGGTCAGATCTTCATGAGGCATTAAACATAGAGAAAATTCTGAAGAATTCAACAGACCAAATGCTGTGTTCCATGACAAAAGGGATCTGATGACTGCTTTGGAAAACCCTGCCTTCAGTGTCACGCCTAAATAGGATCTAACAATCTGATTAGTTCCTTTGTTTAGTTTTATAACACATGAAAAGTAACGATTAGTATGCAAAAGAGACATCGAAGCACAAAATTGGCTAAAATAGCTATTGCCGATGCCAATAGAAGCGTTCATCACACACTCATGGTATTTCTTGTCTGAAGACAGAAACAACGAAAGTGCTCCCAAGGAGGCCTTTGAGCCTTAAAAGTGTTTGCAGCCAAACATACTGGCTCTTACAGCACACCAGGCAGACTCACAGGTTTGTTATGCTGAAGTGATCACAGCACAACTCAGGCAGGACGGCATCTCTCTGGATGAGAAGGTCCCCACCAAACTCTTCCATCCTGGTCTTAGTCAAACAGTCTCTGGGTGTCTTTGTGCAATCTGCGAGGAAGAGACCCTTGTCACTCCCAAGTCACGGCCACGAGTCTGCTCTGACTGCAGAGGCAGCCCTGCTTCGGGACGGTGCTGGCACAGGCCACTGCAACGGGGAAGGAGGCAGCAGTCCCAGGCCCTGGCTCACACCTCCAGCAAGCAAGGGAAAACGACAGAGCCCGGGACTTAACCTAGCGCCACAGGTACAGCCCACAGCCCGGCTCCCTTCAAAGGGCCAGGATCCTATTGTATACGAACACACACACACACACACACATACACACACCCGCGCAGTCCTCTCTGCACGCCAGGGCTGACAGAGCCCCCACACCTTTCTCCTCACGACACCGGGGCGCCTGCAACCCCGCGCTCCCGCTCAGCGCCGCGCAAGGAGGCCGCCAACCCGCCGCCACCCTCAAGCACACACCCGGAACCGGTGCCGAAATGCCCCATACCCGGACACAACACGGCCCGAAGCTTCCAGCGCAGCCCGCCTTTCCCGTCGCTCCCCACGAGTCCGCCCAGAGGAGTGGGGCACGCTGGAACACCGAGTCCCTACCGGCCGCCACAAGACAGAGATGAGCGGCGAGAAGACTACAACTCCCAGCATGCAAAGCGTCCCGGAAGGGAGGGGGACAGGAGGCAGCGGCCACTACCCGCACCGCCTCTCTCCTTTGCATCCTGGGAGTGGTAGTCGCCCGCCTCTACCCCAGCGAGGGACATTTTGAGAGCCGGGCGTGGGGAAATCACCATGAAAACGGGGCTGAGCGCTCCGCTCCGCCACCGTGGTAGTGGACTACAGCTCCCAAGGCGTACCGCGCCGGCGGCCATTTTGTAGCCTGTGAGAAGAGGGGGCGCTGCCGCTTGAGCAGGGGTGCGGTTGGGGCCTCACCAGTGCACTCCGGAGAGCCTGGGGTGCTGGGTTCGCTGCTGCGGTGGCTGAGGCACGACGATCGCGGGGTGGGCTCGGTAGCGCCTCCCTGAGCGGTCTGGAAAGAAACATGTCAAGCAGAGCATTTTTCTCATCAGAAAAGCAGGGTTTGGCCACAAGGGAAACTTCAGAGGAAGTGTCTGGTTTTGTTGTTGGATCGGTTTTATTTTTTTCATTTTTAATGTATTTATTTTCTAACCAGGAAACCACGAGTCACTTGGGGCATAAAACCATAAAATCCATCTTTTTTTTTTTTTTTTAACTTTCCATTTTCTATCCCACAAGCACATTTTTTGTGCATGTGTCAAGAAGTGGAATCATGGCTGAAAATGTTTTATTGGTGTTGGCCAATGATGCCTGATGCTGATTTTTTTTTCTTGTTTCACAAAAAGTTCACATTTTCAGTGGAAATACATTTCCCAAGTGGCTGCAATACTTAGCATGTGTTAAAAAGATCAGGTTTGCAGTGCCTGTGAGCTGTGTCAGGACGTGGCCCTGCACCTTGCAGGACTCATCTCCACCCTCTCCCTTGCTGCTGCTCTTAACTGCCTTGCCTGACTCTGTTAAGTTCATTAAGTTAATTTCTGTAAAGGCCATGAGCCTGTAAATGTCACACCTTCAGGTCACTCTATTCTGAGGGATTTGCTATAGGCCATTTGCAAAGCTCATCTATGCTGTCATTCTGCAACAAAAGAAATTACCTTGTAGTCTCGCTTTGATTCTAGTGGCACTAATTTCTCCTCATGGTATCCCAGCCCTGCAACACTGGTTGCTTTGCTGGAGGGTGTACTAGAGGTAATGCTGTGGCCAAGGAGACTTCAGTAGATCCCTTCAAGGGGGGCCTCACTGTGACTCACCCATAATATAAACCGTAGCCACTTCACTTGCATTGTAAGTCTTTAAATACATACTTTCGCCTGCTGGACTGTTGTTAACTACCGTAATTTATGAGGGCTGTGTTTGGAATACATTTGGCAGCAATGATGAAGTTAGCATACAGTGTCTTCCATCTAGCTGGAGTCATGCTCTGGTTTTAAAACAACAGCTCGAGAGGTGTTTCCCCATTTGGTGATCCTATTTTTTTTAATGTATACACATACGGTAGTACGGTTACAGGCATACAAGTGGGTTCCCAGCTGGAGGGAGGAAGAAGGGAAAACACAAGTCTTCTGGTAGGCGAGCAGGAATGGATAGGAGGAGGGTGGTAAACAGAAAAAGGGAGCCAAGAGTAAACTATGGGTGAAGACTGCTGGTGCTGCATAACACTGTCTGGGGTGTCAGTGACACACAGGAGTGAGCCTCTGAGCAAGCAAGAAAAGGATGTGAACTGTGGCATGTCACTGTTTTTGTGAGGCTGGAGTAAAAACAGGGTACACCATAGACTGGTGCAAACAATGGTGCTCTTCTGTTCCAAACCCTGGTTCAGTGCTAGATTAGGGGCTAAGAGGGGCAGAATTGGGCAACATCACCTCCACTGTCTCCATCACCTGTGGATGTGGGTGCTTTCAGAGACAAGCCCCATTCCTCTTATTTCCAGAGGCTACAAGTTCCTGTCTTTTGCCCGGATGCTGCGTATGTTGATGATTAAGGTTGCCTTTGGAAGCTGACTGTACTCTTTTCCTCTTTCCTGTCTTTTTGCAGACAATTTACTATCACACACTGCAGAGAACTGGGGATGAGCTGCTTTTTCTCTGGTGGCTGAGGACAAGACAGTCTGCAGCAGTGGATATGCTTGTGTGTTGGGATTTTTGCTATTGCTTGGCGACAGCTGAAATAAAAATAATGAGTCAGACTGAAGACAAACAGATGGTGAAGTGTTTTCCCCTCGCCGGCATGAACTAAGTTGGCTTGACAAGGGATAGGGGCTGGATCTGAGCTGCAGCACAGGACATGATCCAAGCGAGCGTGCTGCATCTGGTGCGTGGACTCTGAGGGGACAGCTCCTTCATAGAGATGGCCCCATGTGTCTGAAGGAAGCCAGTGCGTCCCTGCATGCAGGGGCAGTGTGTGCAGATACATAACAGTGTCAGCCCTGGTACTGGGAACCTCATGCTCTGTCCTTGCAAATAAATCTGTCATTTTTCCCCCATCTGGTATTTCCGCTGCTCTTTGCTCAGAGCCTGGGGTAGGCGCCTGGCAGGAACAGCTGGCTCCTCTTCTCCCAGCCATAGGGAAAGAGGCAGGCCAATCCTAGCAGTCGCCCAGATCCTACAAGACAGAGAGAGTGCTTAGATGCATTTTCACCGTCTCCTATGTCCACAGGGACTGTGGAAGTTAATCTGGTATTGCCACATGCAGCTGGTGCTGGGACTCCTGAGGAGAAGTGGGGAGGGGAAGGAGTATTTTCCTGCAGGCAAAAAGCAAAAGGCACAGTAGTACCCACCACATCCTTCTCTGCTGGGAAATCATTTACAGGAAGGAAAGCCTACAGATGGCCTTGAAATCCCCCATAGGGTGCGTTTCCAGGATTGAGTGCTTGACAGTGCCTCTTCTGCACCAAGCTTTGCTTACCCTTGTGCTTGCATTTGCTTCTGGCTTACCTGCAAGCAGGTTTGATTTATTCCAGTGCTGTTCATGTTGGTGCATTCTCCCACTAAGGTATCTACATAAAATTGGTTCCTGTGGAGCAAGTTTTAATGCGGGCAGGCTATAAAGGTTTTTATCAGCTTGTCACAATAACAATGTTGTGGCTGGTATGGAGAAGATCTGCAGGGAGAACCCACAACCCCTTTTCTGCCAGACAATTTGTGTGGGAGGGAACTGAAGCCAGTCAAGAGCAAAATTAATACTCTCTGCAATTACTGAAATTTTACAAAGAGACAAAACCAGCTGGGGGTCTCTGTTCATTTTGATTTAGCTACAGAATATTTATACTAAAAAAAACCCCCAACCTTCCCCTAATTCTGGTTTACTTTTTTTTCTCTTCCTACCACTGGCCCCAGCATGCCTCATTCTAGTAACAGTAGTGAAGGTCTCAAAGAGGTCCTTAGAACCAGCTGAGGGCCTTGAAGTTAACATGAAGCAAAAACACAAAAACCACAAAACCCTAGAACTCCATAGTCCTCTTGTTAGAGCATGATCTGTAGGAGTTTGTTAACCAACACAACTTTGTAGCCAACACAGGGCTTTGCATTTACCACCACTAACCCTTGCTCCCAGAAATCTTAGCAGTTTCCTCACAGCTGGCAGGGAGGGAATTGTGTTCGCTCCGTCTCCCCTGGCCTAACACCAACACCTCCTTGGTACTCAGCAAAGCTGTGTTCCAACATGATGGAATGCCCTAGCAGAGCAGGGCCAAGAAACATGTTTTATTTATTTATTTTTAAGAAAAGGTGTGATTAATTAGAAATGTTACTTGCAACCACTGGCACTGGGTCATTAAAACCCAGGGAGAAATGCCAGGTGGTCCACACTAGCATGCCTGGCTGCAAAGTTTGTGTACCCTGTAGTGTATCTGCAAGTGTGAAAACACCATGGGTTTCAGTTATGCAGCAGTCTTAGTGCTGGGAGGTGTTTTCTGTTTACTCCAAGTCCCTAAGCCCTGAAACAAAAGCATCAAGCTGCCCGCGCTTCAGACAAGCTGCCAGAAGCTGGTTCAAGAGCTCGCCCTAGAACAGCACTTCTGTGCCCTCCTGCTTTGGTTATGCCCAGTGCAAGGTAACCTGATGCTACCAGGCTGAAACTGGGAGTCAAGCAATACACAGCCTCTAGTTCAACTGCACAGCATGATACAGATGGGATTTGGGGGCGCTAGCCTGTGGTTTTATCACTTAATCATGACTTGGTCAGGTAGTTTATTAGTTCACTCTCTGCTCTGGCACCCACTGATGGCAGATGTTGTTTCACTGGGACATATTTCTACTTTTGCCTCCTGAATCATCTCCGGTGCAGCCACAGCTTCAGCCCTGCTAGCAAATGAGGTTGTTAAAACACTCACCTTTTTTTCTTTTTCTTTTTTTTCTTTTTTTCAGAACAGTCTCCTCTGTTGTCAGTAGCTTGCTCTGGAGCTGAAACTCCCTCCTCTCCCCTGACAGGAAGGGCCACGCTGCCATGCCCAGCAAGGGAAACAGCAGGTAAGAGCGCGTCCTTCATCACTGAGCCAGGCAAGTGTAGCTGGCAGGCACAGGGAAGCTGCTTTCCTCTACAGAAACCTCCACCATAGTAAGTGCTTGCTGAGAGCTGGCTGGTTTTTTTTCCCCTCCTGTGGGAATACTGCAAATCTTGGTTACAGCATAGACAGCCTCTTACTAGGGAAGGGACATAACCAGTCGATACATATTGGTCACAGTTGTCTTCCTAGGAAACAATCAGGCACATTGCTACTTACAACACAAACAGCCCAAAAGCAGCGTAAGAAACAGAGCTCACAAATGCAAAAAATAACCTCCAAAACTTCTAATTAGAAACAGTCTAGAGGTTGTTTTTTTCCAAGAAACAGTTTGGGAGTGGGGAGGAAAATAATTCCATTGGAAAAAAATCCCAACTTAGTCTAGTTTACAAAAATTCATGCTTGGTTTTTGGTTTTTGTTTGTTTTTTTTTTGTTGTTGTTGTTTTTTTTTCTTTGTGAAAATCCTTGTTTCACACACACACAAAAACGTATTCCTAGGAATCAGAAGTCCACAGTAAGGTCTCCAGTGAGTTTCCACATCTTTCAGACCTTTGGAGAAGAATATTTAAGGGAAGTGTCAGCCGGTGTTGTCAGTGCAATATGAGAATAAGTGGGCTGCAAGCATTCCACCCACCCCTTCCCCTCACAGTGGTTTATCCATGTGGCCTCACATGCTCCTACACAGCAGGACTGCTGTTTTCCAAGAATAACCCATGTCTTCACTTAACACTCTCTTAAAGGGGCCTGGTTTGCCCAGTCCTCTCCCAGGATCTCAGCTCAAGCATTATGTACAACTCATCTGTTCCTAGTACGCCACTGTTAATATTCAGACCTGAAGTACAAACAGAGGAGACTGCATTCAGCCAGGGCAGCTTAAGATCCCAACTATGCTTCCAGACAGAGGTTCCAAGGTACACGCCTTGGATGCCAAATACAGGCTGTGCTTTGCCTGTTTCCACTATTGTTTCTCCCCGTGTTGAACACCATCCCAAGCCTGACAGTGACTCATATCAGCTTAATTCTAGCTCCAGAGGCAGGAATAATTTTATCCCCATCTGGAGCAACAACAGAGCACCACAATCCAAATGTTTTAAGGCATGAAGCAAAGAGAATCACATTCACAGGAAATCACCTAGAAGGGTCACCTAAGGACTGCATTGCCTGCAGCCCAAATTTTGCACGAATACAAGAATGAGACATGCCTGTTCCTTTGGGAGGCGTGACACAAATCTGTGTGTGATGGAAAGAAACAAGATCTGACAAGACATCATTAAAAGTCCAGTAACAAGGGGTTTACTTTGTTTCTTTTTTTTTATTGGTTTTAAATATCACTTTTTTTCTTTCCAGAAGTCATTATGTCTGACTCCATTAACATTCAGGTAAACAAGTGAAAGAACAACAGATGGGCATGATCTTGTAGCACATGTACAGCCACTGGGAGCAGGTCTTGCTTTTCTCTGCAGCAGCTGAACATTGCTCTCCCTCCCTCTCTGTACCACCATGGGCAATGGCTGGCAGCCGCTGTGGGACATTCCTGCTTCAAACACAGCAGTAAGTCCAAGCCAGGGCAGAGAAAGGCAGGCAGCTGTGGGATCACAGCACTCAGCCTCCCTCCTGGCTCTCAGCTGGGCTTTCTCATAGTGGTTCAGAGGGGTGGGTGGTGGCAGCAATGGTGGCATTACCAAACCATCCATGAAAATCAGACCAGCCCCCAACTGGCTGGCAGCAGAGAGGATTTTGGGCCATTTGGGGTCACTTCAGGAGACCTGGAGTGCAGTACTGCCACTGCAGCCCTCTTTCACCACAGTCACCCTATTTTTGCAATCCACAGTAACTCCTCCACAGCTGTGCCCTCCCTTCCCTTAAGGGAAGGCACAATTGCAGCAGCCACCGCTGCCAGCAAGCAACCTTTTTGCCTTCCCTCCGCACCATTCTGGATGCATCCCCAGCCTCCTTGCATGCTCCCCTCACAGAGGCTGGAATAACCCATGCTGTTGAAGCCTGGTTCACAAAGCATCCTGGTATTAAGGTTAACTGGTTGTAAAACCACAGCGGTTCATCACACAATGCACACTATGAGAAATGTTTATTAAATTGATTTTTGTTTCATTTCTTAAAAAAAAAAAAAAAAAGGCAGAAAGAAGTTAAACACACTGCTTTGTGGCATGCTCCACAGTATGAAAAAATCCCAAGCATTCAGTTAAGCTGTCAGCAGCTCTGTTTGACTTTTCGATGTGGTCTTTCAATTCAGACCTGGACAGTTGACTCTCCCCCATCAGTCTCTCTCCTCCTCCCTGCCTCAGCTCACAGCCATTTTCTCAGCAGTCACTAGGTCCAGGAGGATGCTTCCCTGGAGAGGGAGGAGGGGTTTGCACTTACAGCCCACAATTTCATCCATAGTTTGTTTTTTAGGAGTGTAGGGGAGCAGAACGACACCCCATGTTGCACACACAAATGTGCAGGTATGCAGGAGAGGGTCTGAAGCCAGGCAGGGGTCCTACCTACTGTTCTTTCCTCCTTCATCTCAGCCAGCTTTGGGACTGACCAACTGGCAGGAGAGCCTTGTCTCTTTTGGATCCTGAGCGCTTCCAACAGGGGGAGTCCCCTCAGCCCTTCACAGTTCCCTCTCTAGCTTGTTTCAACTCGAGTCCAGCTTCACAGGAGGCCACACTAGTGGAGACCCAAGTCAGTAGTGTTTTTCTGTGAGGGCTTCTCAGCTACTTCAGTTCTTAAGCATAATAGGGCCTCTCTGTCCCTCTTCTCCGAGGGCTGACCCTCCTGCTACAGCTGATGACCACTCTATGGAAAGCATTACCCTCTCTCTGCAAAACTCCTCTGCCCTCTCCCACGACATTCCCTGCCACTGGCTGCTCCCCTCCCACAGCACCTTTCCTGGAGCAGCCATAGAGACAGGAGGTGGCCAAGGGAACTGCCTCTAGAGCTCCCCACAGTGACAAATCACCTCTGAAATAAGCCAGCAAGCAAACTAAAGTCCAGGTGGAACACTGAGCTAACTTCCTGCTCTTCTTCCTCCCACAGCTCTCAGATTCCCTCTCTCCAACTGCCGCTTTCTCCCTACTGCTCCTGCTTGGAACAACCCAGACTCCTAAAGCTACATTTCCAAGGACACACCGAGCCTGCATCGAGACCCAGTCTGTCTTCAAACAGAGTTCCAGCTACATGTGCAGCATCAACTGAATACTGAACAATATAAAAAAAAAAACGGTATAAGGAAAGAAAACAAATTGAAATGCTTAATGGCATATTTATATACATTTATCAACACTCAACAAAAAAGGCGGCAAGTTACACATCCATTCTGTATGCTAACAATCCCAATGCACATATATGTAAACACCCATGCTTGGTTGATGCATATACATATAGCCACAGAACAGAGTACATAACCCGAAGGAGCTACACTGGGGAACTGGGAAGGTGTCACCTACTGCAAAACTCGTCTCATTCTTGATGTGCACAGTGTGGACATTCAGGGCAGTGTTGCTTTAAGGCTATTTCTAAGGCTGAATCTTTTTATGTCCAACCCCTCAATCTGAAGTAATGCTAAAGCACTTCCTCCTCTTATCCAGCACGACTTGAGATATATATATATATATATTTTTTTTTTTTTACCTATATGCTTTTTAAAGGCCCTGTATACTAAAAGGTAGGAAGAGGAAGGGGGGGGGGGGGGGAAGGGGAGGGAAGCCTCCGAATGGATCAGTTTACCCCAGTGCGGGAATTTCATATCCTGTAGTGGCAAAGGCCATGGCAGCCATGTGCAGTGGATAAGATACTCATTTAAAATAACCACAGGTCTCGCTCCCTATCCTATCTAAAGCTCTTTGTTGCAATGAAGGGGGAGAGTGAAATACTTTCAGAAAACAGAAATATTCCTGAAGTGGGGATGGTGATCACTGGTTTCATTTCCTCTGCTCATCTGCTTCGAGGTGGCAGAGAGCTAAGAGATACTATAATTTCCAGCTCAAGTGCTTGTATGGCTAAGGAAAAGGCTTTGCTTAAAAATATATATCTATAGAACTATACATATAGATCATCTTTTTAGAGATACTCTGATTTTATTACATAGCTCCTGGGTTATTCTCCCCCTCTATCTACATGGTAGTGGAGTGGCATACAACAGAAGCCACGTACATTGAATTAGCAATCAAAGCTTACCAGGCTACAAGAAAGTGTTTCACCTGGTACAATCCAAAATCCTCAATTCCCTTGCTCTGATAAGCTTATCTCCTGCCATTGATGTAAATGGAAGGTCTTAAAAATAAACTGTTTTATTTTCTCCCCAGATCAGGTTATGACAATTTCCCAGCAATATTACAGTGTGCAACAATATAAGCAAGGAAAACTACACAAGAGAGTGATGCAAAGATGATATTTTAAACACATATGCATATGGCTGGGAACCCCCAAGCATCATCCTGCAATACGTAAATGCAGGATTTCTAAGGTTGAGGACTTCTTTTTTAAAAAAAAAGGTTTCCTCTTTTATCCAATATCATTCGTATGCAAGAATTAGCTTAACAGCAGAAACTTAGTACACAACCAGACTCCCCCCAAAACACGTTTATAAAATAACACTGAAGAAGGTTAAAAGTGACCCAATTTTTTTTTTTTATATTTGAAAAACTGGAACTAAAATTCACCCCTAGACACTGACCCTTCAATATAGTGAATCAATGAAAATGAGCCAATTTATAAAGTTATAGCTGAACCCAAAAAAACCAAACAACCAAAATCCAATAAAAAAATCCCAAAAGCCAAAGACATTCCCACTCATCAGAGAGTAAAATTTAAGAATGACTTCTGTTACGAATTGGCATATTAATACAAACAGGTTGGAGAGGAACAATACATCTGCGTTTACCCTGGAACACATTGCGTGGAGGCGACAGGGGCTATTTGTTCTCCACTCTCCCAGGGAGGTGGGGCAATGCTAGGAAAAGATGAGTACAAATGAACAAAAATGCTAAATTCTGCTTCAGCATCCAATTATGTATATAAAAAAAAGTTGGGATTGAAAAAGAGAGTAAAAATCAAGGCAAAGTTTTCTGGTAACAGGCTGCAGCTTTTTCCTCTGTACATCTTCCGCCAGTATTATTTCTGAATTACAAAGGGTGGGGAAGAGGGAGGAAGGACTCATCTCCTGCTACAGCTGTTTTCCCCATCACACAAAACTGATGTGTAACTAATTCAGCCACAAGGATATGGGAGAGTTTCATTTATTAAAAAAAAAGTACTTCAAAATAAAAACGGTGAGTACTGTACGGTAATATGGAAGTATTTATATACATAGTTTTCTTTGTCTTTTGTTGAAATGTCTCATGGTCACTTGGTGGCACTTGGAGTCCCCTCTAGCGCCATCTGCCCTGCTCCCCCCTTCCCCTCCCCGTCTCTCACGGCTCAGTAGACGGAGCTGTTCCTTATGCCGCAGCATAGCACCATGCTCAGGATCATTTCAAAGATCTGTTGGGAGACATAGCAGCACCAGTGAGGCAGCAACCAGAACAATGCAGGAGCTTCCTCATGCCATATGAGCACTCTCATGCCAAAGACAAGGGCAGAGGTCCTGTGTCTTCAAGTCAGTTTTCATTAGTAGTTGGTCATTCAAGATTAAGAGGATGTTCTCCCCTCCAGCTGGCAGCACTTTGCAAGCATGGAAGCTATGCAGCAAATGCTTCAAGGTCCCCCCAGGTATTACAACCCAGCCTCTGCACACAAACTGGGTTACCAGCCCATGCCACCCACTGCTCACTGGGGAGCAATCCCACCATGTCAAAGAATGCAAATCCCCTCCCATTGCAGACTGCAGTGACAAAGCATGGCAGCCTGAGAAACATGGGGTTTTGGAGGCAGAGAAGACCCTCAGTGGTGCTCTGCCCTTCTGGACGGGGTTGTTGCAGGTGCTCACCAGGAGCCTGTTCTAACATCCCAACCCCGCAGAGGGGTGACAAAGCCTTGTCTTGCCACATCCCAGAGCAGATGACGTGCAAAGGGCTGCCACTGCTGTTGAGCCTCAGGGGCATGTGGAGGAGAGGGACGGATCCAGCCTAGCTGGAACAGGATGAGGGCATCCTGAGGTGGCTTTTTCCCATCTTGCAACAGCAGGGCACCACACAGTCACACTTACCATGATCACGGCGACTACGATGGCAACAATACCGATCACATACAGCTTCCCGGAGAACAGCTCATCAATTTTTTTGTGGCAGTTGACAGTCTGAAGCAGAAAAGCATGCTGGTCAGAGAGCCTGCTCTCCCCTTGCCTGCCTGCCCCTTGCCTGCCCCTGGTACCCAGAGAGGCAGGTCTACCTCCTCCAGTCCCACTTATGTTCCTGGGTCATGACTCTAGGACTTCCCACCAGACTTCACCCCTCTGTGCCTGTCAGCCCCTCAAGCAGGAACAGCAAAGGAAGAACTGACAGGAACCTCCAACATCCCTCTACACCATCACCAAACAAATTAAATCTCTACCCTTGAACCTAATTCCCAATAAATCCCCAAATTTCCCTGGCAGCCAAGTTTCCTCACATGAGCTGCACTGACCAAAAAGCAACCATGCCCACCTCAAAGGTTTTCAGGATGGAGTCCTTTCTTGAGCAGAGGTCTTCTCTCCACAGGGGAGCGGTAGCTCCTATTACATTATCAGGACCACAGCAGTCCAGCTATATACAGAGAGGGGGAAAAAAACCCCAAACAACCCAACAAAAAAACATCATTAGGAGACAGCAAACACTCATGCAGTGCTCTCCCCACCATTAAATATCCTTGAAGCTACCCACAATTGAGGAAGTATCTTGGAGGGGAAAACAAGGGAGGGGGAATAACTCTCCAAATTAATTTTTTCTTCCCATGAAATACAGCTGCTTCCTGCCATAGTGGCAGACAGAGCTGATGTTGGTATCCTGGAGGAGAGTGAACCCAACTCTCTCCAGAGATTTTGCTTCCTGCTGAGCAGAGGAAGTATTGGGAATAGTTCCTTAGAGCAATATTTTTCTTCCATTTAATTTTACTTAAATCAGGGGTGCTGAGGTAAATGAAAAGCCACTTAATTGGAGCTTGAGCCAGACTTCCCAGCACAGTGTGAAGGGCAGAATACTGAAGAGGGCACAACTCTGCTTCTTGACATGTGAGAACAGCAAACTTGACAGGCATGTAGGACCATCTGCTTTCGACCCTGCTTTTCCCATTCATTTTCCTGACCCCTATTTTTAATCCTCCTTCCTCCCACATTCTCATTTCCTCTGGCTGCAAGAAACTGCTATGGAGGGGAGATTTCTACTTGGTAAGCAGGCAGCAAAACCCCAGTGATGAGAACACAAACACATTTGATCCACTTCCTAAGCATCAAAAAATCCAGTGTTGCCTTCACTTCCCGCCTGAGGACTGCTTACTGCTTCTGCCTCAGTGGGGAGGATCAGCCTGTGCACAGAGACAGCCATTGCTTACCACTGACAAACCACATGCAGAAGTTAACTGGGTGTCATTCACAGCATGCAGGATCCTATCTATCAGCAGGTGTTTTGGCCAACTGCATGTGGCCTGAGCAGAGCATGCAACTAGACCAGTGACATCTTACCGTTTCATGAAAGGTCTTCACCACAGCTTTGCCATTGTTTGCGTCTGACTCTGCCATGAGCGCTTGTTGAAATGCTTGATCGTAGAACTGCTTCACATCTTTGGCTATCTAGGAAAGATGAGAGAAAAACTCCCTTTCAGGCAGAGGAGAAGGAAACCTATCCAGTGGATGGGTTTAGTGTCTGAAGGGGAAAGGTTCCCTCCAATGGCACGCACAAGTAGAAGAGCAGTTTTTAAATAGATTTGCACCCCATTTATTTGCACAGGTGTGTGAAAATAGGCCTGTCTTTCACAGGACCTAAGTCCCTCCAGCCGCAGGATGTTAAGAGCAGCAGATGTTAAGAACCTCATCCACCACTCAGGAGGTTCCAGAAAGCGCCATCCAAGTGCTCCATGAGCATTCTCTATCAGGCAAAGACAGACAAGGCTCAGAGGGTGAGCCACAAGATCTGAGACAGCCTTCAGCCCAAGTGGATTTGCTGTTTGGCTCAGAAACAGCTTGTTCTGAAACACCCGACACATGGAGACAAAGGAAGCAGGTAACACATGTCTCACTGAGGCTGCAGAAGCAGGCAGGACATGCTGGGGAAGTCAGGAGGAGGTGGGGTGTGCAAGCAAAGCTGCAGTAGGTATGGGCACCTAGGCTTACTGTCTGCAGGAATTTGGGGGGTATTGGACACTGAAGCCTCATTTGGGTGGTTCATTTTCAGGGAAATTGGCCTTGTGGCTTCTCTTCTAACACCCTCCAATAATTTGAGAGAGAAAGATGAAAAGAGGACATGCAAGAGAAGCAAAACAAAAAAAAAATAGGAGCAAGTACAGAAGGGAAAATGCTTTCAAGAACATCTGCTGTTAGCAGTGCAGGCTGGATTAGCACACAACAAAAGAAACAGCAGCAAGAAGGAGCATGATTTCAATCAATTATCCCAGCATTTCTTTGTCACTGCTCAAAAAAGTTTGCTTTGGAGGGCAATGTTCTCCACTCAAAGCATTTGATTCTGGTATATGAAAAATATAAACTAATAATCCTATTTCTTGCCTCCCCATCCTTTACATAAAGCATCTGTGGAAGAGCAATCCTGTCCCCCCAGGGGCTGCAAACCCAGGTGGAATGAAGCCCCTGCTGGGAGCAGCTCTTGGTGGCCAGTGTTGCTCCCCAGACATCTCCGGCCACAGTGGGGTGAAGCAAGCTGCCTGCCTTGTGAGCAGGGACTTCTAACCAGCCCCATTCATCATGCAGGCTGTGAAAGCAGCTGACACCAACAGACTGCCACTGTTCATTTCAAACTGCAAAATTAATTTTAGGGAATGCAGTCACCACTCTTGTATTGGCAAATCCTAAATTCCTCAGCTTTACGCTCTGATGGTCAGGCACCTTCTCCCCAGGATGGAAAGCAACATGCATGGAGGGGGGTGTTGCCTCCTTACTCAGGCTCTGCCTTTTTTGCTGTTGCACATCTTGGACTCTTCAGGATTCACAGACTAACACCTCCACGAAACGCAGCCCCTCTGCAAAGGTTAATTAGGTCACCAAAGCTGCTAGGAAACATACCCTGCCTGCATAATATGTTTAGCCACGGAAGAGTTTATTCTGGTGAAGTCATGCACTCTCTCGTGAGTGACTACAAGGGTGTTCCCACTCATGGCTGAGCTGGTCATCTGCAGCCTACATGCATGTGAAAGCTGAGCAGGCCACCACCTACTTACATGTCTAGTTTACACCTCCTGGTAAACACATTTCCTGCTCTAACCTCTGTTCTGTGCAAAGCCTTAATGGCTGAGGGATCAACACCCAGCCCGCAACATGGCCACAGCTCTCATACACTGATTGTTTTGCTCTTCAAGACCAAACTCAGTATGTGTGAGCACATGAGACTGTAGCGAAGAGAAGGTGTAAAGCTGCCATTTAAGTACTACCCTTTAGTTACCCCCCTTCTGGCCAGAGGACCTCATCTGAGCAGTCCCTTGGAGGGTGCCTGGGACAGAAACTTCCGCCCCTCATGCATGCACTTATCAGCATTACTAACCAGAAGCAATCTCAGTCCTGGCTGGCCAACAGCCAGAAGTGGGTTATGTGATACTGGCAAAGAGCAGGAAGCACCAAGCAACCCTGTTAACACAGACGCAGGCTCCCTCCACACAGCATTCCCTCCCTTCAGGGCCAGGTGGCTGGGTTTGCTCTTTGCTCTCTGACACTTAGGATGTGCAGATGGCTTTCCTTCATGACTTCATACGTGAATCAACTCACTCTCTGACTGACAGTGTGGCAGCAAGGAGGAGACCCAAGGGAGAAAGGGCTATTTTTACTCCAAACATTGCACTACATGCTGTAAGGGGCAGCTGCTACCATCAAGTGCTCACATTTAAAGTTCATCAGCCTGGCCATGAGGAGTTAGGTGACCTGCCCAGGTCTTGCAGCTAATCTAAGTCCCTGTGAGCAGGGACTAGCATCAGACTAATCTACGTCTGGGAGCAGCTCATGAGCAAAACAGCTTGTGCTGGGATCTGCTGTGGTTCTGCCCCAGCCTCCCAGTCCCACAAATGCAGGCTCTGGAGGTGTCTTACTTGGTCTTTGTTGACGAATCCCCAGATTCCAGCTGCAACTTCGCAGGCAAACAGGATCACCAGGCAAGTGAAGAACTGCAAAGACAAATCAAGAGAGGTACATTTAACATAACTGGCTACAGGCAAAAACAACCATTAGGTGGACAGAGGTGTGGAGTGGCACTTCTACTGACAGACAGGAACAAGGTGTCGCCTGACTTCAAACCTTTTTATCACTCATAAACATGCTTAGCCCACACGTATTTTCCTGTAACAAACCAGATGCCACCCCACACCCAGACTTCCCACTGGGGTGCCTGAGCAGGGATTAGCAGAGCCCTTCCCACATAGGGACTGGCATGGATGAGGATGCTCTGCGCACCACAAGAAACATCTCTCCTCTTCATGAACCTGCAGGACCATCCAGAGAAGCTTCTTGCACTGCTACAGATGCCCCAAGCATGCGAATTGCCAGTGCAGGTTTAAAAGCAACATTTCAGCTGCTGAGGAGCTGCATGGTGTCAGGGTGTGATTTATGGCCAGCTCTCTTGGCATCTGCTACCCTGCAAGGCTACTGCAGTTTTTTGCATAAATACTAACACTGATGTTTTCCCACAGTCCCACCCTGTTTGTGCAATTCCAGCACTCCTCCCTGCCATTCCCCCAAAGCCTCCCACCATCATTTCGTTCAGATCTCAGGAACACGTTGTGACGCTCAGTCTGTTAGACTGGGAATGGGAAGCCATAAAGGTCATACATCAGAGTCAAGTGAGAAGGCGCTGAGAGGCACGCTCCACATGCAGCTAACATTACCTCCATGATAACATCACCCTCGGTGACTTTTCCTGGGAAAAGCCCCATAGTGGGAGAACTGCCATGGAAGTAAAAAGGCAAAAGAGATGAATGCAGTTAGGGGAAGACAAAATCACATTATGGGGTGGGACAACAGCCCCTGACTGCTGGGAAGTCTCTGTTGCACACACATTTTCTTCACAAACAGAATAAATGGGAGTTTCCAGAATGACGCAATGACCTGGCTCTCACATGCAAGAGCAAAGGGTTATCAGCAAAATGGAAACAGGACTATTGACCTGACAGTAGGAAAAAACTTAAAACGTCCACATCCAGTCCCCAGATAAACAACTATTTAAATACCTATATATCCCTGAATCTTCTGGACCATCTTTGAGGGACTGGATCCCACATTCCCCCAAGAAGCCACATCACCCTAAATTGTGGGCACAATGCCACTGTAATTCTCTGGTAAAGCACTAGGGCTTGTGAAGGATGCCTCCAGTGAAGGATGTCTCCTTTATCCCAGATCTGGAGGTACAACTTCCTGCAGAAGTTCTGTAAGCTGGCTGCAAAGCACCAGAGATGCAGCTTGCTACCATGTGAATACAGCTGTGTTTCTGGCCAAGCGGTCATATATGCCCTCCAAGTTGAGTGGCTCCCTCCTGCCTTCCTTGGGTCTTGCTGCTCAGCTTTCATGCTGCCTTTGGCACTTCTTGGTACTTTTCCCTTTTGCAGCAAGGCTACAGTCACTTCATCGGCTGGCTGCAGGAGAGGGGAAGCGGCTGTTTCCTGCAACACCCTGAGGACACTGCCTGGAAATGTCCTTGGAGTGTGGTGGGAGCCTTGGCCAGTGGAAAGTGTCACCATGAGGTGTCTCCAGCCTTCTCTTGTCAGGCCAAGGTGTGCGCGAACATAGGCGAGCACACAGAGCTGCTAATTTCAGCCAAAGCAGCCAGTTTCCCTGTAAGACCTGGGCTATGTTGTACCATCTGCCCTTCTAATCCTCTTTCCAACTTCAGGAGGGAGTGAGGGGTAATTCAGGTTCTGTAATCACTTGTGCTAACAAAAACAATAATCCAAAGCCGCCAGACCTTACTACAACCACCCCTGTCGGATTTGTGCATGGGCTCCTCCTCTTCTCAGCTCAGTGATAATGCCTGCAAACTCCTAATGCAACTCCCATCCACCAGTGTTCAGAAGTGCTTTATAAAAGCTGGGGAGAAGCACTCCCTTCTTATTGGGAAACAAGCAATCGGAGGTGAAGCCAGCTGCGAAAGCCAGGCAAAGTAGCTCCGTTTCCCTTTGTCCCAGCTGTCCCCACACCCATGGGTCACTACACCACCACCAAGAATCTTCCAGCCCAACAAAGCCAAGTGCTGGAAAATCCTTCCCATTTGGTGTTGTTGTTTGTGGGCTTTTTTTGTTTGCTTTACCCCCTTTTCTTATTTTTTTTCTTTTTTTAATTGAGTTTAAAGCTGAACTACACGTCAGAACTTGCTTTAAATAAATAGGTCTCCCTTACCTACCCCCAAGGCAAAGGCTTTTGGTGTGGCTACAGTTTATACAATTAAGCTCATCCCATGCCAGGAATCCTGAGCTGCTGCCTCACATCAAGGACGCCTGCAGCACTTCAGTAATGGATTTTCTGGGACATCCTCACTAAGATATTGTGGGAAATCTTTGCTGTGTTCTCATCCAAACAGATAAAAATAGTGAATAACACCTTAAAAGAACTGGAATTGTCACAGGCAGCCTTAAAACAGAGTGAAAGGAGAAGCTGTAGGGGACAGCAGGTAAGAGAAAAGGGTTGGTAGGTGCTTGGTTGGACAGCCAGACTATGGGGGGGGGAAATAAAAGCAGGGGGGGCAGTTCACACATAACAGAAAATTAATCCCATAGGCTCTTCCTGTTTGCACCTCTTCTGCTATGCTGCTGGTTTCAGCCTCTGTACTGCAGCCAGGCACAAGCAGGAGCTTGCAGCATGCCTGCCAGCTGAGCCAGAGCTCAGTGGGCTGGGCAGAGATGCCCTCAGCCAAGCAGCACTACCATGCTCCTTGCAGAGACCAGCTATTTCCATCTCTGTGCTCATACATCTTCCCAGCCCCGTGTGTTGGAAGATTCTCCAGCAAGGGAAGCATGGCCACATACTGCCTGGCAGGACACCAAGCTGCCAAGCAGCATCCCAAGCTTTGCCCTCTTACCGTTCCCAGAAGGCACTGAGACTCCTGAATAGCGCCGTAGCATCCCAGGAACCCCACAAACATCATCACAGCTCCAACCGCAATGAGGATGTAGATTCCTGCAAGTGAGAGTGAGAGGCAGAAGCGTTACTGTAAAGCTTTGTACAGCAGCATCCCAGCTCCTGGGTGACCATTCTGGCTCATGGGAAGCCTAATTACATGTGTGCAGAATTAAAGCCTGGGAGACAGGAGCAGAGGTGGCAGCAGACATAGTAGAACAATACAACATAACACAACACAGATCGGGTCTGAAACCGTATGAGGCTGCTAACAACAAAGCTTTAAAAAGCCCATCATACCATCAGGAAACAGAGGACTCAAGTAGTAATAGGCAGAGGATGCAGCAGGCAAGACAAGGCTTTCCTCAAGCCTGTAGTATGTGAGTTCCCATAGCATACTGTTTTAAATATTTTAAGCAGAGGAGATGAAAATGATTAGTTAGCATATCTTTAAAATAAACAATAAGGCATATGGTTTATTTCTGTTAAACATCATGCAAATTTATCCAGCTAACATTTTAAAGACAGATGAGCCACAAAACTAAGAGAAAAGCACTGCTTAAGCATCTCTGCTTCATTTAATATAATCTGGCTTTTGTTTGTTGTAAGTTCTTCTATAGAGAAGATGACATTCCACTTCAACTTATTAAATCTGTACAGCCATCTTACTCCACAACTGCTTCAAAGCTTGGAAACAAGGCACTGGGTGTGGGAGCTCAAAAAACATAGGAATGAAAGTTTATTGATTCAGGAAACAAGAGCTCAGCTCAAGGCTCAGTTCCGATGTAGCAAGTAATCACCATGGTCTCACCAATCATGAGACTGGCGAGGCCATGGTGACTACTCCCAGCTCAGTTAGATTTGTTTGCTTTCCCAAAACCACAGCTTTCTCCTGGTGTACCCCATACATTTAGTGCATTTTTTGGTTAATTAATACTCTCAAGTATTGCGGTTCCACTCCTCTGTAAGTGAATCCTACTTTCCATCCAAAAGCTATTTGACACATGCAAAAAAATAAAGAAATAATTACAAATGAGGCAAGACTGCAGTCACCATTTTTAACTGACAGTGAGGGAAAAAAGAGAAGTCATGATGGGAATAAACATAGACGGGGCATCCAGAGGTAACAGCAACAACACTGAATCTCGCTGGTGCTTGGGAGACACGTCCCTCCAATGAAATGTTTTCTTCTGCTATGAGTCAAAATGCTTTCAGAATTACTAATCAGTCTGTCAACTCCCCCTTAGGAACAACACTGAAGTATAAACAGAGGTCAGGATTACAGGCAGTTGCCTGTACATGCCCTTCATGTTTAAGGTTTTTCTTATCTTTCTACCTTTTAAACAATCTCTGATAATTGAAGCGCAAAGTCTAAAGAGCACGTGCTGAGAGCAGAGTTAAGCCAAGTTAAATCCTTCTCTAAAAAAAAAACAAACAGATACATAACAACAGCCTTGACTTGTTTAAAATCCCCTCATGGATATGTCAAACTTGGGAAAGGATGAATTTTGACTCCCGTTTCTTCCCTCTTTAAAACAAAAGTCGCCAGCATCGAAACAATGCAATTGCCAATGGAAGGAGCAATACGGTGAGAGGTGGTGATGGAACCACCACCCCAGCAGCTCTGGCTGGGACCCTCCTGATGGCCTTTCTCACCAGCACCATGCTTGCACAACGTCTTGCGCTATATTTAGGTGCCACAGGAGGGAGGAAGCCATCTGCAGGGGAAGCGCCAGCACAATGGAACGTGCTGACCCTGCAGGAAGCCCCTCTTCACAAAACCTGACAGCATCTGTGGCCGGTGACACCAACATCCTCACAGAAACACTGCTGGCAGAAGGGCAGGGATGTCTACTCAACGGGCTTCAGCAGCACCCAGCAGCCCCAAAAACCCAACAGGTACTTGTGCTGCTGAAGAGCCTCAAGGGGGGGATGAGACACCTCCTTACCTGAAGGTGTGAAGAAAAGGAAAACACAAGCAGAAGATGCCTCCCAGGAGAGTTTCTTGGAAAGGACAGGCCAGCAGTTGAAGTTCTGTGGGCCTGCCTGAAGAACTGGGTGATTTTATCCCAGTGGCTGGACATGATGTGAGGTGGAGCGGTGGTGGCAGCCAGGCAGAGAGCCAGAGTGGTGAGCAGTGCGGCAGAGGGCCCCAAAGGGGCTGGGGGTGATGGGAAGACATGAACGCATCCTGTGAAATGAAGGCTGTATGTTGGATGCCTGCCAAATCCCAGAGAGACCAATAGAGATTTTCAGATGCTACATAACTGCTATTTCAAGAACACCCTATTGGTAGTGGTCTCTAAAAAAGAGAGGTTTGCTTGTCACCAGAACCTGATAATGCCCAAGAACCAGCCTTCACCACGCCAGCTTGTACCAGGGATGCTGCTGGTCTGGGTTTTCAACCCCAACTGCTTCAGGTTTCTCCATCTTACAGCACTGGGTGGCTCCACAGGAGAGTCTTCATACCAAGTTGCTCTGGGAAAATCAACTTTTCTCATCCCTGAGTGCAGCAGCTTCTGACTTCTTCTCGTTAGGCCAACAGAGAAGAGACAAAGCTGAGCTGGGGGCAAGTAATTTCAACATCTGAGAAGTCAGTATTTATGCTAACCACAGATGTAGCACATCTGGAGACCAAGCAGCATGATGCCACAGGGACCCCAACAACCAGGTCACTGCCGCAGAGAAGATTTTATTCTCAGATTCAGCACAATAAACAAAGGCAACTTCCAGGCTGAACAAATATAGGCAGGAGATCACAGAGTCATAGAGCTACCTTGGCTGGAAGGCACCTTGAAAGATCACCTGGTCAAACCTTTTGTGAGAAAAGGAGCTTAAATGAGACTATCCAGCTCCCTGACCAATTATACCCCCAAAGCCTCCAGTGATGGACTCTACCATGGCCCTGCAGAGGTTGTTCCATTGAATGACTGTTGGGTCAAAAATGTTTGTCTTATATAGAGATCATCAGGAAAATGCAGGAGCCACTGGTGGCTGGGAAAATTTTGCTCTGAAAAGTAGGCGATAAAAGCCCAGCAAGAACCTCAACTGATGGAAGAGACCAAGAGGGAACAGAGACATTTGCTATTCTATAGAAGTCTTCTGAAGGCCTCTGCACTTCCTTCTTGCTGGTTTTTGTGCAGCTTCAATAGCACAAAACCAAACCCAACCTGCTGAACTCTCACCCCAGACAGGCCATGCAGACCTCAGGCAGACAAGTGACACACATCCTGGCTTCCTGCTCCCCTCCCAGCTCATGCTTCGTCAACTCCTCACCAGAGCCAGCACTGCTGTCTAGCAAGCAAACAACAAGAAGTAAAGGAGGGAAGGGAAGAAGACGTGCACCATGTGCAGCTTCCTGAGCAGAGGCCAGCGGATGCGACTGGAGGGGTGGGAGCAGCAGGAATGTGCATCCAGGCAGGGGAGCAGGCAGCAATGACTGGCCTGCACTCAGAAAACCACAAAAAAACCCTGGAAGGCTTTTGGGATAAAGACCAGCTTCATTCCCAGGCACAAACAAGTGGCTGTTATGGAGTTGCCTTTTGCCCATGAGCACCACCAGAGCACGACAGCCTCCTGGGAGGCAATGGAGCAGGACTCTGCTCCGGAGTTTATTTAAAAACAAACACAAAATATTTAATGCAACAATAGCATCTTGTACAATGAAAGCTAGCAGTGTTTCTCCACAGAAATGCCACGCTGAAGACTGAAAAGCAAACGAAAGCAACCAAAGCACCCAACCACAGACTTTGGATGGTGTTTGTTTTCCCACACCCCTCTTTCTCCTCAAGGGATGGGACTGAGGGGGTGTCTCTGCCTCCAGACTGGGTGCCAGGCAGCTGGGGGCTATTTCACAGCAATCGCAGCCCAGATGGGAACGACCAAGCCCTCTTCCCAGAAATAAGCCTGACACATCTTAGCTTTCATTCCTGGCAGGCAGCAAGCGTGACGGACAGTGTGGTTTTGGGCTCCAAGTCTGTGAGCAAAGCACCTGTCATCCCCACCCTGAATGGCACATTATCCTCCTTAAAGTCAGAGCAGCCTCACCCCAGCACAAGCCTCCCCACTATATAAGATTAACTGCTGCTAGCCTGTCCTGGGTGAGAAACTCTTCACCAAAGCCATATTCATCCCTTCAGGGCTCTACCCAAACTGGCACAATTTTGCATGAGCAAGGCTTCATCTGCCTTTCACACGCCACTTCTCAGCTCATTTGTACTGCAGCTTTCTCAGGGGTTTTCAAACAAGAAATACTGCTGGCCATAAACAAACAGAATTAGAGAGGTATAAAATGCAAACTGCAGTGCCTGCAGTCGTGCAGCTCCCTCCAAAGCAGCAACAGGTAATCCTGGGAATAGCCAGAGCTGCAGCAACAGGCACAGTAAGCAAATGATTTCTAGGTTCACAGTACCAACGTGCCTCCAAATTCTTGAACAACACTACAGTGTGATTTCTGCCCTGCGGCACATTTCTCCAATAAGGCAGCAGTAAGCAAGACTACTAAAGCTGCCACACGCAACCAGCCACCACCGAAGCACACCGTGAGGCACAGGACCTGTACATTGGGGCTGGGAAGTCAGAAGGATTTGCATAGACAAGCAGTGCCTGGAGTCCCCTTACCTCCTTTTGAGATGGAGCCTTAAAACAGAAAGCTTTAGGAAAAGGGCCAACCAGTCTTTGCTTCACCTCCTCTATTACAGAGAGACTTGGGATCCTGTCTGAATTCAAAGCAGTAGCACAGCAACCGTCTCTTCACTCAAGAGCATCAGGACATGATGCATCAGAATAAGCAGCAGCAATGGACCAAACATCATCCCCCCCACCTTCACTGATACAACCAGGGCATGTGATGTTTTGGGCTGCAGGGACCTCCTAAAGTGTTAGTCATGCAGAAAGCCCCCGAACGTGAGACCCAGGACTGACAGTAAAGTAACTGAGCACTTCTCTCTGGATGGGGCTAGGGTGAAAAGAAAAACAAAGCAGTCAAGAGGCCAGCTTAGTTCCCAGCTCACACAGATGGTATTCCCCTGGAAGGCCCTTCGCCGCTAGACCAGGTAGGA